GCAAAATCTTTTTTTTCCCCGCGAGAAGTTGAAATTGACTGATTGATTGAACCTTTTTTTTTTTTTGCACACGGCGGCGGATACCTAAAGTGAAAAGGTTTTATAAAACCCAGCTGAAGGCCTAGGACTGGGGCGACGGCACATGTGCCCACAGAGAGGGCTCTGAGTGCCGCCTCTGGCACCCGTGCCATAGGTTTGCCACCACTGGTATAGGGCAGACATGTCAAACACAAGGCCCGGGGCCCAGATGTGGCTCGCGAAGTAGTTTCATGTGGCCCGCGAAACCATCCTGAAAACAGTGAGACAATGGCCCCTGCTACCTTGGCCCTGGCCCAGGCCAGCCAGGAGCCAATGTACAATTTTGTGGTGGCCAACTATGCTGAAACGCATTCAGTCTTAGCTCCACAAGGCCGTCCGGAAACAGCGAGGAACCAGCCCCTGCCGTGTCAGCCCCGCCCCCTGGGTGCATGCTGGGGAGGTGTCACCCTTTGTGAGGAATGAAGAAATGCACCATGCCTTGGCGCTTGCCCCGGTCCCACCCCCTTCTGCCAGAGACCCTCAGATCTGTCCCACTCCTGCCCAGGCCCCCACAGGCACCCTTGACGCGAACGATGTAGAGCCTGCCACGCCCACCCAGTAGGCCGCACCCACTCCATCCACGCCCACCCAGTAGGCCGCACCCACCCTGGCCACACCCACCCAGTCCCCCCCCCCCCGAGGGCAACCGCAATGCTGATGCGGCCCTCAATGAAATTGAGTTTGACACCTCTGGTATAGGGTTTCCTGCCTGAGCAGGGGGTTGGACTAGATGACCTCCAAGGTCCCTTCCAATTTTATTGTTGTTGTTGTTGTTGTTATTACTATTATTATTTTAAGACGTGGGGACTTCCAACTCCCAGAACTCTTCAACCAGCATGGTTTGCTGGGGAATTCTGGGAGTTCAAGTCCAGGCATTTTAAAGTGGCCGTACTTGGCGGAAAAAAACCTGGTTACAAACAATTCAACCCATCTGGAGGTTAACATTTCTGAAAGGTTAAGAAATTTACAAGCAGGATCTAAGGAAGGCAGCGCGCATATACACCCCCCCCTCCAGTATACCGACTACAGTGTTACGGGAAGCCATAGCTTGCTTCTCCGTGATTGTATCAGCCAATTGCACAGGTCACTTCTGAAGTGTCAGGTTCCTGTTTGTCAGCTAGCCGAGAGTAGAACACTTGAGAAACATATTCCAGCCACCTGGGAGACCCCCAGCTCTACCCAGACAGCAATTTTAAATCATCCACCCCATGGATTCTGGATGGAAGGAAGTGCATTTTAAGCCAGACAGGAATTCCTGATGGTGGACCATACAGGAGAACAAAGAAATCAGCATCTATATATATATTATTATTATTATTTTGTTCCTATTGTGTATAGGTTTTGTAAAAAAAAATTTTTTTTTACCTTTTCGATATAGTAAACCGCCCAGTGTGACCTTGCGGTAAGACGGGCAAGTCAAGAAATTTCATAAAATAAAATAAAATAAAAATAAATAAAACATGTCCAGAGGACAGGATGAGAACTAAAATCTGGAAAACCGTAGGGATTTCTTTAGAGACGGTCAGTGGATCAGACTGCCTGCGGAAGCTGGACCTTTGTCACAGAAAAATGTGAAAAAGGTGTCATATATATATCTTTATCTTTGTAAGATATATTCAGAGAGCCAGTTTGGTCTAGTTAGTTATTGCACCATGCTACAAAGCAGGAAACTGGGAATTCTAGTTCTGCCTTAGGCATGAAAGCTGGCTGGATAAGTTTGGGCCAATCACCCAGAGATTGTGAGTTCTAGTCCTGCCTTAGGCACAAAAGCTAGCTAGGGTGTTTGGGCCAATCACCAGGAGACGGTGAGTTCTAGTCCTGCCTTAGGCACAAAAGCTGACTGGATAAGTTTGGGCCAATCACCCAGAGATGGTGAGTTCTAGTCCTGCCTTAGGCATGAAAGCTAGCTAGGGTGTTTGGGCCAATCACCAGGAGACGGTGAGTTCTAGTCCTGCCTTAGGCATGAAAGCCGGCTGGATACGTTTGGGCCAATCACCGGGAGATGGTGAGTTCTAGTCTTACTTTAGGCGTGAACGTTGGCTGATTGACTTGGGGCCAATCACTCTCTCCCAGACCAACCCACCTCACAGGATTGTTGTTGTGAGGAAAAAGAGGAGGAAGAAAGAAAGTTATGTATGTTTGCCGCCTTGAGCTACTCATAAAGTAATAAAGGTGGGATCAAGATCTAGTAAATAAAAATAAACAATAAATAAAAAGCGATCCAAATCACCATAACGTATCTAGACCGTGGTCTGTCCTCTCATATTCATGCCGGACAATAGGAGACAGACGAAAAAAAGATAGGGTAATAGCACACGTGCATATTAGAACATTTACACTATTACTAGAATTAACATACAGGTAGTTCTCATTTAACGATGGTAATTGCAACGAGCAACTTGGTCGCGAAGCAAAGCGGTCACTAAATGAAACTGTGACTGTGCTGAAGGTTTACTTTACAGACCTGCGAAGATTGTCTACGTGAGGCTTGGTTGGAAAGTTACTTTTTCACATCGTAATTGTGAATGGTTGCTAAATGAGGCAGTCTCTAATCAAGGACTGCCTACAGACCTCCGGGATCATTGAAAAGTATGGTTCAAGTGCCTGGGAGGAAGGAAAACTGGGCCATCCTCCCGTTCCTACAAGGATTATCAGCTCACTTGATGATAGTATAAAAACACTGTAAGGCACTTGTTTTCCTTGGCACGGTGCCCTGATCCGCACCTTACAATTAAGTGAGCTTTAATTGCTTCCACGTAATTGGCTACACACCGCCTCAAATCTGCGTGGGCATTCATAAGTGTCAAAGCAAAAGGCCAATGAGATCACCACACTCCCAGTTATAAACCTCAGACTCAAGTTAAAAAAGAGGAAATGGAAATTATTTTTTCTGTCACAGGTGGTCCCTGACTTATGACGGGTGGCTTAGCGACCGCTTGAAGTTTTGACAGAGCTACCTAAGACCCAGATTCGAACTTCCATCAGATGCTGACTTTTAGGGCTGTTTGCAGCAACTCGCAGTCATATCACTCTGTTTTACAACGTTTTCTTTGCCGAGTGCCAGCATTTATTTCCGGGTTCAAACAATACCCATAGCCAACTACCGGTTCGTTTAACAACCGCTGTGTTTGCTTAACGAGCACAGCGTTTGCTTAATGACTGCAATGATTCAGCTGCTGCAAAAGATAAAACTGGGTCAGTCCCATGACCGATAGGTTTTCCAACGGTCACAAGTCATGACCGTGAGGGTCTGGATGGGGAGGAACAGACTCAGACTCAACCCTTCCAAGACCGAGTGGCTGTGGATGCCGGCGCCTCGGCATAGTCAGCTGATTCCATCGCTGACTATAGGGGGCGAAACTCTGGCCCCCTCAGAGAGGGCGCGCAACTTGGGAGTCCTCCTGGATGCACAGCTGACATTGGAAGATCACTTGTCGGCCGTGACCAGGGGGGCGTTTTATCAGGTTCGCCTGGTGTACCAGTTGCGGCCTT